GGGCCGGGCCGGGCCGGGCGGAGGCGACCCGAGGGGGCAGGTGTGAGGCTGCCTGCAGGGGGACGGGGGTGCAGGCCCGCCCCAGCCGTAGCGCACAGGAGCTGGTGGCTCTGGGTTCGCTGGTGCCGAGTGTAACGGGGTGTGTTATCCCGCTTATTTTGCGTTGTTACATTATTTCGGACCTAGTTTTTGCACTCTCTCAAACCGGTTTGTACTGTTCTGTTTATTTAGCTTTGTTAAACTGACTCGTGTTCAGCTTTTCCCCTCTCTGCACATCAGTCAGTTTATTTTGCTCTGTTAAATCGATTGGTATTCAGCTTTTACTCTCTTTCTCAAGCAAGTTCACATTAATCAGTTTATTTTCCTGTGATATTGATTCAGATTCAGCTTTTTGCATGCTCTGCACATTAACCAGTTTATTTTGCTCTGTTATCTTGATTCATGTTCAGCTTTTGTTTTCTGTCCATATTAACCAGCTTATTTTGCTCTGTTAAGTCACTTCGTATTTAGTTCTCTCTTTAACCGGTTCATGTTTTTCAGGTTTTACTTTGTCAAAACAGTTCATATTCAATTTATTTTGATATCCGCTTTGCACTCCTAGATTTAAACCCTCCATATTGCTCCCTTTTCTGTGTTCTTTTCTGCACTCTGATTGCCTTCTTGGAAATACTTAACGAAATTTACATGCACTTCAAATAATTCAATTCTGATTTTCTGCTTTCTGTTTGCCTATTTACAGTGTTTGTGCTGCCTTTGGTTTGTGTGAACTTCAGGAAATTCTAGAGTTAGAAGGCCTATAAATATATAACTATGGATAGTAAAAAAACAAAGTTAGATATTTGAAAGTTTCAAAGCCAGCATGGAGAGAATTGTATGGTTTTGTGCAGTAAGGGGATGGTGGTGTCTGTAGTCTGTGCAGTGAAAGCGTGGTATCTCGTACTTCCGATGTCCAGCGCCGTTTCGCAACCAAGGACAAAGCCAAATTTACTGGAGTCAAGAAAACAGACAAACATGAATCCATTAGAAAAGCTGTTGATTCATTTAAAAAATAGACTGCCGTCTTTTCTAATTTTGTAACAAGAAATACTCTTTCCACCTGGTCAAGTTACATTGAAGCTCTAGCTATAGCTCAGAAAGGCAAGTGTTTTACAGATGGAGAAATACTTAAAGGATTCTTTCTTAAAATGTGCTGAGGATCTCTTTCAGGATTTTGCGAATATGTAAGAAAGACATAATTTCTTATATTGATGAAATGCCATTGTCATCCAGGACTGTTCAAAGGTGAATAGATGAAATGGCAACTAATGTTAGGGAACAACTGACTTAAGACCTCCATGATTGTGATGTGATGAGCCTCGCTTGCACTGGATGAAAGCACAAATATAAATGATATCACCTG